TGTTTATTCCCCATGCTCCGTGCATTCTCATAGAGGCATTTAAGGTGGGCCCCGATGAAGCTGGCTTGCAGACTGGAGCATCTAGAATCCCCCTGTTCTGCCTGCCAGGTGTTTTCTTAGTGAGCAGTGATTCTTCTCCAGGCTCTGGGCATCTCTCCTCCATCCCACCTGTGTCAGGGGGAGGCTGGGGGGATGGGAGTGTTGGGAGACAAGCAAGCAGCTGCGTGATACTTAGTTGCCAGGTGGAGCTAAACAACAACATAGCACTAGGTTTGTCAAACGCAAGCACATTTTACCAATATTCACTGAGACTTCTCTATGTTCTGACCCTTAGTTCCTGCAGCTCCCCAGGTTTTCCATTATTGGGGCTATTTTGGTTTTCTTATCCCAGGTAGTGGAAAACAGACCATTTAAAAATTCACTAATTGTTATGCAAATTGTTAAGTTGATGACAGGCAGGAGCCAAATGGCAAGCCAGGTTTAAACTATTCAAGTTTTGAGAATTGTATTTGGCGCTAAGGAGATTAAAAGCTTCAAAAATAATTTCAAACCTGTATAAAATTTTACTATTGTTACACTACTATAGGGACCAATATACAGACCAAAGCAATTTTTATGTTTGTTAAGAATAAGGAAATGATGACTTTTTCAAGCCCTGATTACAGGTAAAATAAAATTTGTTAAAAATTATAAAATTGCACGCTTAGCAATTTATTATCTTATAGATTTAATTAGTATTACTCATTATTATGCAAGTAAGGATGAAGTGGAGCTCATTTTCTAAAGAAGAGAAAGACTGCAGAACATTTTAAATATTTAAATTGGGAGTGGCCTTCATTTCTTTGGAGTACACAGCATTCCTTAGGGGTGGGGGGCATCCATCTACATCTAAAATGAAAAAATACCTTTCCCCCCATATTTGTTTCATACCCCTATTTTTTTATCTTTCCAATTAATTGTCTCCTGGAGATCAAACACCTCTTTGGTTATGGAGTCTATATTCTGCTGCATGCGTTGATTCTCCTGTAGTAAATAGCGTGAGGGAAGAATAAAAGAGGAAAGACGAGTAAGGAAATGGGAAAAAAAAAAAACATTCAAAGAGATAAAGGAAATCAAATAGTAAGAGTCAACCAAAAAGTTTATGAGCATGAAGTTAAAGAAAAAGGATACAACTAAGTGTAACATAGTATTTCCCTTATGAATTCATGCAAGAGAATGGTCATTAAATTTCATTCAATCAGACTCCCTTCTGACACTACATTGATACATTACAAGCATCGCCCTGTTTTTGATCTAACGCTGCATTTTGCTCTACGAGCATCACAAATTCTTTGCTATGATCATATAATCATGTATGAAGATGACACAAGAATTTTTAGGGATAGAGATAATTTTTTGCCTTCCTAATGAGTGAACTTGATTTTACATCTGGGAATGGAAGACAATGTCCTTCTGCAAAAAGCCAAACAGCTTCAGCTAGCTTATCTGTGTTAATCAGGGAAGTTGTTCCTTAAGTAAATGGTAAATAGGGGGCCAACTGTCTTCATCTTTGAGGGGACTGCATACCTTTGGTGAATACTCGCCACACATACGCTACATTCTACCAAAGCACACGCTCCAGACAAAGTTACTGTATGTTCTTGATATACATGCTTTAAAAAACAAACAAACAAAAACCCAAAACAAACAAAAAAAACCCCCACACCACATAAACCAACCAACCACCACCAAAGAAGAAAGTAAGGGGGGAAAAAAAAAAAAAAAAAAGTTTTTTCCTTCACAGTGAATTCAAAGAGAATCCAGAGCTACAGCCAGAATTTGCTTGCCAGCATTCATCTGCAAAATGCTCCTTCTTAGGCTAATCTTACTCCTTTTCTTCTGCTAGTGCGTCATCTCAACTCAAACTCATGAAGCGTATTATTTTCTCAGTAACCATAAGAGACCTGGGAATTTTCCCAAGCCTATTGGAGTTACTGTACTTCTGCCTGGAGAGCACAAGAAATTAGTGGGGAAAGAAATCAATGAAATGCAGTATTACATAGCTTTTGAAAATCAGGCAGTGGAAACTTTGGCCCATACACTTAAAACCATTGATTTTTACTGGAGCCAGAAGGTGGTGGGAAAATGATGTACTAATTGAACTACAACTTACAGTGCTAGAACCCAAATCAATGGGCAACTGACCCCCACATACTGTTGACAACACATATCTTTGTGGACCATTTTAAAAATAAGACTGATAACAGCTCTGGGATTTTAGGGCACATGTCTTCTGGAAACAAATCAAAACGGGGAGAAGTGAAAAGAGGAGGAGGGAGAGTGGAAAAGAAAGTCACACACCACACAACAAGCAACATGGTTAGGACATGGTAACATGCTGACCACTGTTGCTGTACTTATGGTTGACTGGTAAGCAAACAAACATCCACTGCTGCAAACTTCAGTGGTTGACACTTACAAAAACCTGAAGTAACTGAAAAGGACACTTTTGGAAAAGGCAAAGAATACTATTTGGTAGTATCCATGCATTAGAACTTCTGGCTATGCAAAATGGTTTTGGCCGTACAAACGTTAGTTCTGTACTCACAAAGAAGAAAGGTTAAAAGGAACATTCATGAGAGAACCACAATTCTCACAGGAATTAAGGATTTTACACATTTTAAAACCTTGCAGAGATATTTTCAGTTTTAGAAATTAAGAAATTGATAGCTTAAACTCTACCCACTGAAACAAGATTCTTTCTTAAAAATGTGAGATTTTTAAGCTCATTTTGTGTAGGATGGCTACTCCCATTCAAATCTTACACCATATTTATTTGCACAAATTCTATCAAACACTTTCTCATAAGAACATACCTCTATCAATTCATCTCTCTGTCGAAGGCCCTCTTTAAGTTCATCCAGCTTATGCTGTAGAACACTGCATGTGTGTTTCTGTCTTTCCAATTCCTAGATTAAATAAATTAATGATTTCTTTTTATTTAGTTTGGGTTAGACACTCATTTTCAATGCAAAGTTTAAAAAAAAGTTATCACTTAACATAACATTACCTTAGAAATTCTACCCACCACGTGGCTAAAAATTAGTGGGTTTGGCCAGTTCTCAAACACTTACTATACAGAATATTTTATTTCGTAAGATTTAGAGTGGAGAGAAAAAATTCCATAAAGTTTTAAGCACAGTATTAATGACAAAGGCTCAGATACTGAATTTATCTAAATGTTGCCTGAAAAAGCTGCCACACAGGTGTCTTTTCAAGAAACTGGGATGGAACATGTCATTTTTGATTCAAATGCATGCTTTATCATTAGTGCATGCATTAATGAAATGCAATTAATTTGCATTTAATTGGGGGAGGGTTGGGATGTATTTTGGGGTTTGTGGGTTTTTTTGGGGGATTGGTTTGTTGTTTAGGGTTTGGGGGGGGAGAGGGTTGGTTGTTTGTTAATAAAACAAACCCAAACATAAAACACAATACTCAAAACATATTTGGCCACTGAGACAGACAGACTTTTCTGCTAATCCAAAAGTTTTCAACTGTCCTTACTAAGTAGTCCAAGCTTCTATGGTTTACCTTATAATTAGAAAAGAGTAGTCTTAAAAATCAGTACCTTTGACTTCTCTTCATTCTCCCTATAGAACTCTGCTATCTGTTCTTCTTTCTCCTCAATGACATCCTTTAGAGTATCCACTTGGTAAACCAAGTTGTTTTTCTCATTGTCTAGTTGAGCATTGGAAACCATAGCTTTCTTGTACTTCTCTTCCACTTCAGACAGTGAATCCTACAGATAGTAGAAAGGCTTACTTAGAAGGTTCAGCTTTTTGATGGACTGTTACAATGTTCAAACAGCACTCTTCAGCATTATGGTGTTCTCTGTTGTACAGTAAAATTACACAGTCATTTTTATTTGTTATTTGTCTGTTCTTTAGAAATACCAAGTCACAGTTCAATTTCCATTATTCCCGTTAAGTCATACACCGCGATGAAAAGTTATCATCACAAAAGTATGAACATGATAATATCCCACTTGCATTTTCTACTCAGCTCCTTTCACAGCTTAGCTCACAGGGACACAGCAGTAATATCACAGCTTTATTGTATTTTCAGTGCATGCACAAGAAAACACTTCAGAATGAGGCACCAAATCTGACAGAGAACTCTGACAACTAAATGACTATGAAGATCACAGAAGGATGTCTAGGAGTAGCTTTAACTTAATGCTCAATATTTAAGTAATGTTCTTAAAGCCCCAAAGTTTTAAAGTAGTCACACTTTTTATTAACGAATATGTTTAAGCAGACATTTTGTCTGTTTCTTTCTAATATTAAAAAAAAGTGCATGTACACGCTTGATTCCCTACCTGAAGGTACACATACTCCTTGCTATATATCCTCTTATGCAATTCTCCTGTGTTTGCCGAAATTATTTTATCCTATTATTTTTTCTTAGTACTGTAAGAAATGCCAAATGCTCAAATAACTGGAACAACTATCACTCCAAACACTTTAAACATGTTTTAAACATGCAATCATTTCCCTATGCATGCTTTTAAAAATACAAAAATTGAGTTTGAGTCCTAATTTTAGAATTAAAAAAGAACTATGAAGACATTCCCTTTCCAAAGTAGACCCATGCCCTACTACAAATCCCTTATTACATTAAATACTAATTTCATGTAATCTGTTCTTTGAAGGCATAGGTAGCATAACCTCCATGTTTAACTATTTGTATTACAACAGCAGAAGCACTAGCACAGAATGCTCTACAGCAGGCTTGGGTTTTCCAGGAAACAGAACAGTAGGACTAAGGAATAAGAAGTTAGGGGAGAGGGTGGTAATAGTGTAAGTTTCCCAAGAGAATTTAAAGAACCCCAACTTCCAAACCTTATTCCATGTTATAAGTCACCATTCTGAGAAAGCCGTCCTTCAAGTACTTTTGGCTTTTATAATTTTATCAGTCACGTACATTTATCTCTCTGTTCCATTCACTAAATTCTGGAACTCTGTGCTGGAGAAAACCAGTATTTTAGAAACCCCAGAACAAATAACTTGAGACATATCCTGATAGACTACAAATCAGAAGAGACTGGTGTAAGTAACAAAAAGACAAGAAAGGTATCACCATCATCTGGGAAGCAGTAAATAGCAAACAGCAAAGAAGATTCATGATAAGATAGAAGAAAATGAAAAAATAAAGAACACATGTAAGTGCATTCCAGTAATTCATAAGTTTTAGATTAACACCCCAGAATTTTTTTTTTTTGGGATGGTGTAAATCTGCTAAATCTTTGTAAAACAAAATGTCAGAGACAGTAAACCTTCCAAAAACTTTTAAAGAACACTCAATTTAGAGGAAAAAAAGAAAATACTAGGATTGAAATGAATGCTATTGTACTTTTATAAGGAGATAAAAAAATTAACAACTAGGAAAAAATTCCAATGTGATTGTTTCTGTGAATGTGGTGAGTGGAGTCACGCAGTAATTTAGGTGGGCAGACATCTCTGGATGCCATCTGGTCCAGTCTCCTGATTAAGAGGACCAACCAAGACCAGGCTGCTAACAGCTCATCTCCAGCTCATTTAAAGTATCTCCAAGGATGCAGAAGCTGGCTGGATGACCTTTCCCAGTGTTTGACTGTCTTCCCTGTGAAAAGTCATTTTCTTGAGGTCTAATTGTAATTTCTGCCCTTACAATGCAACTTTGTTGCATCTTGCCCTGTCACTGTGCACCTCTGACAGGAGTCTGCCCTCTCTTCTCTATAGCCTCCTATTAGGCAGCTCAAAACAGCAGTGACGTCGCTTCCCAGCCCCCTGGAACACTTATCAAATCCAGTAGTCTCTGCTCCTTAGTGTATCCCATGTGCTCTCCAGGACTCCAGCCTTAAGGAGACAACCAGGTTGGGGCTTAATAGATTGGATTAAAATGTCATTAATCAACAAGTTAATGGGAAGTGGGGGTGTATGGAAATCTGCAGTTACAGAAGAGTACTAAATAGATTTTGAGGTAGAAGAGTGAGAATTGCTTCCCAGAAAGAAACCAAGCTATGCCTAAGAGTCTCTGACAAGTTAAAAAAATTGAAAAAAGTGCAGTATTACATGTTCCCTATAGTTCAAGAATTCCATCCAGTTTCAGTAATCTTCCACTTTTCTGAGAAATAATATGGATTTGGAAGAATTTCTGAAACACGTAAATGAGGCAGTAGGATGCCTACGGATGAAGCAGTGGGAATAGGCTGGAATGAAATGCATAAAAAGGCTCTGCACATAACCTAAAGCTATGAAGAAATACCACCCATAGTTCTACCAGTAAAGACAAAGGGCTATGCAAATTAGCCTGCTTGGCTACAACAGGATGACTAAACCCAGCAGACATCAAGGCAGTGCTCTGTCAACTGCATTAATAAAACCTGAGGAAATAAAAAAGGATAGGATTCCATTCTAGTTGATGCAAGGGGATAGAGAAAGAACCAACAAAACTGATTCAAACTGAGACATGAAAAGATTTGAAGGCCTAAGCGAATCAGTGCTCTCCACATTAGAGTTTACTCTGCTGACACCCAGCAGATTTGTAGCCAAGTAAAAACCGCACTCGTAGCAGCACAAGGGATGGGCAACAGAGATATGCAGGTAGCGTGATTACAAATCACAGTTACACAACCGCTGAAAAAACCCACGCCTAGAAGCAGCATAAAAGCAGGTATACAAGACAAAGCTGTTACAGCAGAAGTTGAAAAAAGGCAATACCTTCCTAATCAGAAAGAAAGGTTCCTGAAAGGATGTCTGTGGAATGCAAATTAACTTGGAAACATATTATGCAGTACTGACAATAGCATAAAATGTAGTTTAATTTTGTAAGCCAAGCATAGATCAAGATCTTGCTGTCCATTGCACACCTGTGCTTTCTGGTAACCACAATGGATTACAATAAATAACAGCGCATTACTAACAACTCAGAACCGCAGTCATGAGATGCTGGCAAACATGCAAAAGCATGAGTTAGATCCATTCTGAAAATATGAAGCAATCTCTTGTTTATTCAAATTTACTACAATCATAGCTATGTGTAATAATCCTGTAATCTGCTCTTTGAAGTCCTTTTAAAATTCACAGGGCAATATGATTAAAACATGTACTCCATGTGAGCACATGGCTATCAGATTCAAAGTTACCTATCTTCTAAAGAGGAAATAATTTTTGCTACATTGAACAGCTCAAATTAGATATTTTCTCATTACTATAATACCATCTCATACATTGATTAATTAAGGAAACTGAAGGAAGCTGTTAAACACATCACCGTTACATGCTCTAGTGCAAGCAACATTCATTAAGGTCAGTCTCTAAATGGATATAAAACCAGTATCAGAAGAGCTCTACTTTTACATGGAACCATTCACAATTAGATAACAGGAAAGAGAATCGAACAAATATCCTGAGAAAGATTTGTAAACCAGACTATTTCCTGTATTCACTTTCCCTGCAACACAGAAGAGGGGAAAATACTTGTATTTTAAATGAACTGCAAACTGCTAATTGTGTGAAACATACAAAAGAAAAGCATACATACTAACTTAAACAAGTCAAAACACTGACAAATCTCATTAACCTAATACTGAAAATACTAACCTATAACTTAGACAAAGATAATGGGAATGTAAGCACTAAAAACCTCCAAAAAACCACACCTTTCATAATGTAAATGATTAAAATAACATTAATCTTCTCCTGCAAGAAATATGCCTGCTCTGATTCATTTCAGCACATCTTTCAAAATTATTACTTTGGATTTGCTTTGTAAGATGTAGTACTTACTGAAACCTGGAACACGAATTCCTAACTTCTTCAGTTCTTTGTCATAACTATATGCAATTTTTTTTCTTCCCTATTCAATACACAGTAATTATTTTGAATATCTATTTATTTGCTAACAAAAGTCTAAAAAATTTAAACTGAACTTCTCATTATCTTACCAGAAAAAACCTGCTATAAATATGAAGGTTCAACACTATTTTAACGTAAACCAAATAATGAACACATACTACCCCATGTACATTAAAATGTGTCTTAATAATTGACTCACATGTCAAACTTAAGCTGATGCTCTCTATGCATTAAAAGTTAGACACATGCTTTAAAGAAATTTAAAAACTTGTTAGTAAAGCCTTATATAGTTAGTGGAACAAGTGGTATCTCCATTACCCAAAATACCCATACAGAATGCATGCTTGGGAGGAGCCCTGATACCTTTAGTTCTTTAAGTCCCTGCATGTATCTCCCTTCTACATCGTGTATCTGGTCCTTAAGATCATAGATATCCTGCAGGACATAGGAATGAACCATTGCATAAGAAGTATGGGGAAATATAGTCGAGAAAGCATTAAAAGGTTTACATGCATTTCTGTCAAATGGCAAAGCCTGCAATAATTCACAGAAATTATAATTAATTTACAACAACTTGATTGAAATTAAGATGCTGTTTATATCCCTGAATCCCAGCCATCTCAAATGGGACAGAATTGTTTCTAATTTGACATAAACAAGGTCTTATTTTAATACAGACTAACTTTTAGGACCCTATGTATTTATGAACACAACAAATACAAATACCAAGACAAATACAGATACCCTGTGATTGAAAATTACATCCTTCTGGTTTCTTAAATATAAGAAAAAGTTATAAGTTCTGTAGGAAAGAAAAATTCCTTCTAACCACAATTTTAAACTAGCCCCAAATTCTCTGAAAATGCAGTTTACCCGTAATTCACTGAGGGAGGCATCAGGATCCACCAAACTGCTCGTGTCTCCACTTCCTCTCCTAGATGAGCTGCCGCTCAGAGGAGTTGCACTTACTGAATTGCGAGATGATGGCTTAAATAGGGAAAAAATATTGTATCAGGAATTATAGTGTCATTTCTAGTATATGTGACATAACTAATTGCTTCACTTTTCTCTCTTGCTTTTATTGTTTGTTAATATTAGCTTATAGACAATATTTTCCATGGGTTATTTTCCAGCACTTATGTTTCTTCTTGTTGAAATGTTGGTGTCTCTTTGATGACTTATCAGTTATTATAACAATATGGTTTGGAGCCTTCTGTCCAGAAGGCTTTCATAAGGAGGCTGTTACTGCTGAAAAAAGTGTAGAAGTTTAAAATATTCCTAAAAACTATAATTTCCACCACCCAGGATTCAGAAGAAAGTCTCCAGAGGAATCTAGCATATTAATTAGTATAGCCCTAACCGCTTAAAGTTTAATCTCTCCTGCTAAATATTTCTCAAACGGAAAATAAGTTCCATAATAAGCTAATACTTGCTAAAAGTAAACTGAAGAATAAAATTATTCCCTCAGAAAATAAAAGACACAAAGGATTAATTCTGTAATTAAAAATGTCTAAAAATATCTTTTTGCAAGCTCTAAAAAATAATTAAAATACACTACTAAAAACACAGAGCATTTATATTTTTGGAACTATTTTAATACTTGTAAGTCTATGGGTGAACACTGACTTTCAACAATATTTACAGTAAAAACTCTTACCCTTGAAAATATTTCTGAATGTGACTTTTCACTCTTTTCTTCCAGCTGAAAGAGAAAAAAGAAAATGATCGCAATACATCTTTTGCAATGAGGGACTACTGAATCACCATCTTCTTTCCAAAGACACAAAGATATTTTTACAAATGAAAAAATTCCAGAAGTTAGCATAGATCAAAACTGGAAAAAATATTCAGCCTGAGAAAGTAGGTTTTACCTCAATTGCAAAATAAATGAATGCTTGTAAGGAAAAAGCCAGAAACCTTTTCTTTAAAAGTTTTAAAAACATCATTGCCACTAATAAAGTGCTGAAAAACAAAATATTTTTCACTATGTTAAATTTCAACAGTGTAGTGACTCCAACACCTGGTGGCATAACAAACACAAAGCTTCATGCAAGTGCACTTCAGACAATTAGTGACACCGGTGTGAGTGTCCTAGCCATTGAAAAAAACGTTTGTTCCTTCAACCCCTTTGGTGAAACCTGCAATTACATCAGGACAAAACCAATTCAGGTAGAAGCCCATAGCCACAGCTTACGTATTAACAGCAACCCAAAAAATAATTTCAATTCATATTTTACATATTGAAGCCTAACCAAAAGGACTACCACACCCCCTGCTTCTTATTTAGGAAACTCTGATACTCTAAGCTGGTAGATTTCCATATTTTCTATATTTATATGCATCAAAACAGGTGGAATTAAATGAAGACATTAACATGTTGCCATATCTCCTAAACCAAGTATGATATATTGAGTATGGTATCTCAAATATCTGGCTTCTCCAAAAACACCTGTTTTTCTCCCAGCTCAGGGACAAGAGATTTGGAAGTCTGCTACCATCACAGCAGAAACAAATGTTACTCCATGAGATCTTCCTCCTTCCTGTTGTGGTTTCTACAAAAGCAACATTGCATTTTCATATCGAATTTACCACCTACAATAAGGTATTGAAATTGTAAAATGTAAATATTTGTCAACACTGTGATGGTAAAATTATGTTAAGAATCCAACTGATCTTAGGTATTTGTTTAGAATAACCTGAAAATATGATTTTGGAATCTAGTAATACATAATGATGATGACGACGACGACGAAAGCAACTGAGAAGGTAGCATAATTGCCAGGCTCAGGTTCCACATCTTCTTTCGGCAGAGCATTCATTTCAGAAAAGTAGGTTTATTAGAGAGGGGGAAAAGAGCAGCTAAAATTTAAAGTGTCCATGCCACACTGAGCACGTACAGACAATAAATACAGTGCATTATTACAACTTACATAGCACCATGAGAGTATTCAACCACCTAAACGCAGACTCAGAGAACAGTGGTTGTAAGGTACTCCAACAGTCACCTAGCCCAGCCCGCCTTTCACGCAGAACCACTGCCAACCGCCCAGGCTCGCTGTGGTTTTATCTAACCGAGGATGGAGGTTCTCCAGCCTTGCCCTAACACGTCAGAGCGCAGCACTAACTTTCTGGAGCTCCTTGCGGTGGCTCATCTGAATGTCCCAAGCCGCAGTGCGAGGCTGCTGCCCCTTGCTGCACTGCTTGGCAGGGCGTGAAGAGCTTGGCTCTTACCTAATCAAGCAGTCGCAGGCTGCTGGTGACCACGTAGCATTCCCTTTGCTCAACTAAGCCCAGTTCTCTCAACCTCTCTTCCTACTGCATGCGCTAACACTGACTTATTTCAAAGACATGCCTTAGAACAGAAATTTCCTTATTTTTTCCACTATTAAACACCAAAGTTTTCACTAGAAGTGACAAGAGCATCTAGAACTTCGAGCAGCAGTAAAGAGAAGACAGGTAGGTTTGCTGTAAACAATACTCAGGCTGAAGGCATGCACAAGAAAACTGTCATAATCCCATTGGCTTGGGATTCAGTGCAAGAGCATAGCCAGCCAAGAGTGCTCCAGAGTGCTCGACAGAATCTCATCCTGAATGAATGAAACCTAAAACGCACTAATGGGGGCACAATTCTAAATATTTATTTTTGCCACTAAACCAAGTAGTAGTATTAAAAAAGATATGCAAATGACCTAGACATTGTTAATTTCTATAAGATAAAAACCCAACATGTTACATTTAAGAGATGCTTAAGCTTATCACACACAAAAATGTGAAGTGTTAACACTTGTCACATGCTTCTAGCAACAGGCAAAATCCTCTTTAAAATAAAGCAAGCAGCATGCTTCTTAAAAATTCAGACCCCAGATGTTTTTGTATAAAAAACAGCCCCAGCCCCTCAACAAACCCATTTACCATTAAATAACGCTGAATGTTTTTACAGTAAGTGTGAAAAGAAAATCCGTGGCTAGTAAGTTTGCTGCATTCACCACAGCGTAACAACAAACGTTACACTCACACTATTCAAACCTTGGACATCCTCTGCATCGGAAACAATGCTTCCCCTGCGGTTGGAACGACTAAAATAGTCAGCAGCGGTTTCACTTTGATCAGAAAAATCAGAGGGCTTCAAAAGATAAGGAGAAGGATGAAAAAGAACTGAAGATGATACCACAGAATGAACAGAAGTTTATTTTAAAAGAACAAACAGGAAATGCTATACATCCATTACTGAAATTTAGCTTTTCTAACGGTTGTACAACCTTAATTACGCTTCTAAAGTTTTGCTCTTTAAAATGTGTCTACATGAATAAAACACGTGCCACACTGATGAATACTTTAGTCAGCATATGCATTGTTCTTACACATTCTCTTCACGTGTTTATTGTTCTTATCGTTTAGAGTATTTAAACCTAAAAGCAACAAACATTAACTATTAATTAATTTTTCTCATTTAGAGTAATATAAAAGCAACACAATCAGAGATACAAAAGGGTTAATACTGATATAGTGCCAAACACAAGCTACAAAAACTACCTTTTTTAAAAAAAGGTTTGCAGTAGATTATAAAAACATATTCTATAATGAGAAGCTGAAAAACAAAAGTTATTCTTTTTCTCCACAAATGCTGCCTTTTCTTCAAATCAACACAATCCTAACAGCACTAATGATGAAAATTTTCGAGGCTTCCTCTCATTCATAATGTTAAGAGACCTTAAAATGGAAGGCAAGCTTACTCCCCAGTACCGTATGCCAGGCAGGCACCTAAAAAGGTGAGGAAAAAATGCTAATACTACATATTACTGGTAAAAAAGGTAAAATACATCTAACCACACTGCAGTCATTACAGTGCCATGGGAATTGAAGCAAAATATTTAACTGTAAATCATTATGCATATTAAACACAGTATTTAATGAGAAGAGTAGCAAGTCTTGCACTGATAACGTTCCACTTCAAAAGGCAGAAAGTTACTGTGAACTTCATTTTAAAATACTTTGGTTTAAAACTGATTACGTGAAAAAAAAAAATCTTTAAACAAGCAGTATAAAAATATATTATCCTTATCGTTTTCACCATTAAAAAATTTAATTCTTAAATTCTTCGTACTTGACATACGTGAGTGACATAACCTCATCCTACCCTGATTAAAGATGGTGAGATTTTTTTTTAATGCAAATGTGACCACTTACATATAAAACGGCTTGCTGATGAACACCTGCCCCAGATTACAGAATTTGATATATTTTTGATGAGTGCTTGGCTGCGTTCTATTTCTCTGACAAAAAATTTTCCAACTGTGACATTTTAAATCTTCTTTTAAATAAAAAAAATAAATAAATTTTCAGAATCAGAAATTTGGCTGAACATTCTTGGTTTAGTTGCATTTCACAAAGTCTAAAGATTCTGAACAGAATTCTGCTTGTATGAATTACCCTTTCAGCAAAACAACAAACAACTCGAGGGTTACAAACCATCTATGACAACACTGTACTCTTTTTCATTCAAAACCAACTCATTTTTGCTGCTGAAAAGCCCATATATCCGATAAACTGTATCGGTTTTGATAAATCCATTAAAAAAGATATTAGTGCAAAAGTTGTAAGAGGAACAGTAAGGTTTGAGATGGAGATGCACGACAGTTTTTCACCTGTGTTTTCTACTCTCTTTCCATCTTCTCTCCTACTAATCGATACCCTTATCAGAATTATTTCATTAAACAAATACTCTGAACTCTCTAAAACATTCATTTGTGTGACTGAAGGGTACCTTGGCGCACACATATACTGAGATCTGATATATATATATATTCCTGTATACATAGAAAGCACATACTTCTACGAAATTTATCTCAATGTTATGAGAAACTAAGGAGACAAGTAATATTTTCACTTTTCAAGAGACTTCAGAGATGGATGTCAATACCTTTTAGGTTTTAGAACTTCATAAAGCAAAACTAGCTTTTTACTACACCCTGAAAAATTCACTCTGACATCTGTTGTAGACAAAAACATCCAGTCTCTGACAAATCTTTATTTGTTGAGTCTCTAACATTAAGAATATGTGAAGAATGAAAACCGCACCGAACTTTTCAGTTTAACCCAAACCAGAGCACTGATCAGAGCACCTCCAATTACATATATTACAAACATTTAAAAGTTTAGAAAAGCAAATTCCTTATTGCTTCTTACACTTTACTGTCTTCCTGCTAAAACACCTCTGACAAATTACATTTTTTTTGATGCAGAATTAAAAAAAAGAGTCCGTGCACTGGTCAGTAAAATGATGCCCGATGTAGACACCCATCATCACTGTGCATTAGTATCAAAGCTTTCAGCAAGCCATGCAAGAGGAATGCTCACCACTGGGCTACTTCGAACTGAACTGGCTCTTGAAGAGTAACTGTATTCAGATGGCTAAAGAAAAGTGACGAAGGAAAATTTCACAATTTTCATAGATTTTTGTCTCCAGAAAACAAAGATAATGAAAGAAACAACCAAAAGCCTATCACACTTACAGTGTGAGAACTGTATGAGCTACGTAATCCATCACCACACAAAGATGCCTGAGAAAGAGGAAATGAAATACCATTTATATACAATCTCAGAAATAATTATGCCACGCTCATACACTAATTCTTATGCACTGTACTCTTATTCCACCTACACATTTTCCAGTTAACATCACACTTTTTGACAGGATGATCAATTTTTTTTAAATTTCCAGCAGTATTTCCTCCAACTATTAGGGATGTCTACTTCCACATATAAATCTAAGAACTCCCTTGAAAAATAGCCAAATAGTTTTTAAAAAATATCCCACCTTAACTATTTGCAGAAGAAATTTAAATTAAATATTTACATTCCAATTTTGGTTTTCAGTGTTCTGAAGCCTTCAGAAGGTTTAAACCACCCTGGGAACAGAAGGTATATTGTACACTTATCCGTTTCACACTGTGCCCACCATGCGGGTTTTCCTGAATGTGTTACGGTTGGACTCCACGATCTTGAAGGTTTTTCCAACCTAAATGATTTTATGATCCTAAGGTGCAAGGCTGAAATCTATTTATGCAGTAGATAATAAAAGCAGCCCTGGTCAACACAAAAAAATTTACAATCCCCTGCCTACAAAGAGATCTCTAGTAGAAATTAGAATTACATGTATGTTATATGTAACAGCAGCCATTATGGTCTTGTTCTCTCACTGGATCTTCTAATGTTTTCTCAAGAATATGCACAAAGCCAAAAAAGTAAAATATGTCTGTTTGCAATCCAAGTGCAGAACGAGACCTCACTAAGTACACAAAAATACTACATAAGAATACTTGATGATTTTCTACATAAGTTTCAGTCATGCATGTAATTTTTTAAAGATGACAACTTTCTGTAGAGCTATCTTATCCGTCCTTCTGGCACTTCTCGCTACCTTGTATTTTGTAAAGATGTAGACTAGGTTTTCATCCTATTGCATTTTTGTGTGATTATTAAATTTATATATGCCATCTTATTTGAAAGTATTTAAAGTCTATCTACCACAAATTTCTGTAATCTCCTGCCAATTATCTTTCCTAGTCAAACACTTAACTTCTTTAAATACATTTTAGTATTATACATGCGGTTGTTATTTAATATGCTCGGATTAACTTGGTCTAACCCCAGTGTTCTTCAGCATCTTTTTTTTATTAATAAACTTTATACTTGTCTTCAAAAAGATCAGTAAAACTAGCAACTACTAAAAAAACTTGAAAGAGGCAACTTAACGATGTTAAAAACATTTAACAGAATGCCTCCACAAAACAACACATGCAAGCTGCAGCTTTCTTTAAAAATAATAATTAAAAAAAAGCACATGTAATACTGCCAAGCCTCACGGCCATACAATACAAATTTAAGGCAACCATGCAAATGGTGCTTACGAACCAAACTGATACTTCTTATCAAACCAGTGTTTACAGAAGGAAACACCTATGAAGAAAAGTGGAATTTTATATTTCTGAGGGCCATTCAAACATCTAAAGATGAGCAAGATATTATTTTATCTTGTACAAACCCTGTAACTCCTAGTTGTTGCCACTGGATCACTGCATAGAGAAGATGACTGTAGTGTGGAGAAGAGACAAAGTCAGAAACACTTTTTCTGCACACATTAAATATATCTTACCTACTGCTCTATATTCCCCAAAGGTTGTAAAGATTGATGTACTAAATTGTACATCTATGATACACAGGAAGTTGAAGTGTGGATAAGCATTCCAAGAAGGCCCATTATCTTTGAAATCACAATCTCAGCTATTAATTTAAACACTATAATATTTTTATCAGAAGATATGTAGAAGGGAATGATAAGAAAATAAACAGTTTTCAAAAGAAACTTCAATTTCCTCTAGCTATTTATTCAAACCTGACCATGACAGTAGCCGCAGGTACTGGAAGTTACTACCCATCTCATGATAGACCATCGATTTGTCATTTATATTGCTGTAGAAGAAAGTAGGACATTGGCACTAAACTTAAGACTTGTTTTTTAAAAACAGAGTAATTTGCATGCGATCCATTTTCTAAAAGAAAATCTTAAAAGTAGGAAATACAATTGTAACTACTATTACCTGTAATAATTTGCAGTGTTACAGAAGGATAGAGAGAGGTTTGCTTCATATAGCACGAGCAGAAACAGATACATGGATTTTACATACATTTAAAACTTAATATAGGAAGAGGAGACAGACCCGAGTGTGGTAGGAAGGAACCGGTTTACTATATCTAAGGCTGCTGTAATTTCTTTGATCATAGTAAATTCCACTCTGTGGGGGGAAAAAAAGAAAAGAGAACACAAAGGTCGCACCTGTAGATCTTGTGAATAAAAGTTTTATCTCAACACTGCCCAAACATTCCCAAGCTCAGAACTTGTACGGAACGATGTGGAATTTTTCCCTGTGGTTGACCCAAAATGCATACAACTTTCTGAAGCAAGTAAAGCATAAGAAACCCAAAACCTAGTTATGTACCCTGTTTATCAGCATTATCTGTATTTTTAATGCCCTGCCCAATCAAAGTAGTAAATAGGTCTGGTTATTGTCTCCTTAATGAATAAGAAAATCCTGAAAAGTCTATCTAAACCCTGACAAGTACAGCATGAAATACATAGACATATTTGACAAAACTTGATAATAATTAGGACAATACTTGTTTTACACACACCCCCCAGTAGATACTATCCTGAATCAGAACATTTGAGGAAAGAGAAGGACATAAACTCTAAGAACTTAAAAGGGGATGGGTAGTTATGTCATCATCATTAGCCTGTACCCTACCACTGTTCTTTACACCAAGTGTGCATGCTGAACGTCCAGCAGTTTTGCTTTGGCTTATTTCAACTGTTTTTTGACAATTCCTACACAAATTGCATATATATGCATATGTGAGGGGAAAAAAACCACCCTGATATATACATGCAAAGAAGGAAAAACAAAGATATGGCAAAAAGTAGTGCTTTCAGAATGTAGCACTTGGTATCTCAATAGGTCATACGAGGCAGAAAGATTCAGATTTTCCATTTACTGAAGAACTGAAGGAACAAGAAATTAGAACCTCAAAAGCACACAGAAAAATGCTGTAATACAGGTAAGTAAATTTGCTTCAGCCTTGTCCCAACACAGGCACCCATTGCTGCTTTAACTCCCCACACCTCTGACACAACTACTAATCCATCAGCACCAAAATCCTCTAAAAAATTACATGAAAAATATTTAATTTCTTGGCACTACACGGGCATCTGTTACGCACTGAACTTAGAACGGTTTTGGAAAGACCACACTAATCCTCGTGCCTTTCTCAACAGTTCACTGGGCAACGTCAAGGTTTATGATAAATTCAATCTTCCATCCTCTATTTCACACTGCTGTTTAAAATACAAACTGATAGGGGACAAAGTGTAAATAACAAAACACATCTCCATCCTGACTGAATCAACTTTTATCCAGACAAGTGCCACTGTTTATTATTTCCAAGAGCCCTCCACAGGCCTCCAACAGAACATGATTTCTATTCAGCTGATTCCATTCACTGGGTTCCACTGACAACTGAAGTTTCAAGTACTCAACTTCAGGTCAGAATTTGGTCAATACTAGAGGTTTCTTTGGTTTTTTTACTTGAAAACAGGTATGCATATGTCAACAAGTTAATAAAATTATCCATGACTGTATTAGTATGTAACTCCACACAGTTGTTATATTTATAATAAATATTATAGCAGAAAACTAACCAATAAATCTTTACGGGAGTAAGAAGTTTTCTTCTTTGAACTATGAGATTCACTGTAAGCATGACTCTAAGAATGAAATTTAGAAAATTAATACCACCATACAGCAGCATCTTCAACCTTAAATATAAAGTCAAACGTAAGGATTTAAGATACTTACCTCTTACAAAGCAAACAACATAGAAAATTTTAACTACATGACTAGAGTAATAGGTCTTAATTCTGTCACTGTGTAAAAAACATAACTGGTAAGTAAACTATAACATACCTTACCTCTGATTAACAGGCTTGCCTTAAGGTAGCATTCACATTTCACAAAAAATGTAAACCAAATATACTAAAAATGCTTAACATTACAGTCTCATTTAAGCACCATGCAGCATTTGCCTATCTGTAGCTAATTCAGATAACACTGCTTTTCAAACTAATTTAGCTTTTTAAATTGCTTACGTCTTTCTTCTAGTGGTACTTGGTGCTTGTCCTTGCTTAAAGACAAAATCTTACTTCGTGTGTGTCTTACCAATGAGAATGTGATGCACTCTACTATCACTTCATAAGAAAGATAATGTTTTTAAGTAAAGATATACAAACTACCTGCTTTATCTCAGCTATGAAAGAGTTTTCCAGTAGATTAACTTAAAGTTTCTATATGGAAATGGAGAATACAAATATATGCATACATATACTTTAAAAAAAAAAGAAGTATGCCCTCGAAGTCTAATCTATGTTGCTTCACTACTAAATGTAAAAACAACAGAAAAATACTAAACAGTACTGTAAGACAGCTGCCTGCAATATGTGACTTCATTAGATTCTTCTTCTGAAAAAGGTTTATACATGCATTCTGTGGAAAATGTTAGAATCGTACTGCTATTCTTGGTCAGAAAACGTGAAAGTAAAAATTGATGATTTTTTAAAAATCAATAATTTGAAGTAGCTAGTGTCATTACACCTTAAAAACAAAGCACAAAAGCAGCCTTCACTCAAAGACATGCAAAAGTGTTAACATACAGGGATGGAGTATCTTGCAGATCTGTCCTTAGCACTGTCACACTGAAGTGAAAGAAAATGTAATCAAAATCATAAAATAAAAAAAAAAAGATAAAGAACTAGCTTTTTTTCAAAGAATGACTGAAAAGGAAATTAAAAGAAAACATATTCTACTAATTATGAAAAATACGTGAAGGAATGACATTTATCCAATCTAAAGGGCATTCTGAGTCTAGAACGCTTTTTAACAGAAACTATTTTCTTCCCCAACCGCACTCCGATCTCTGAAAAGTGAGATGTTTGGACAGCAGTAGGTTATGCAAAATATTTCGTGTGGTTTTGGCAACTGAATTTTAAATAATTAAACAAAGCCTCATATGGTAGATTGCATTAAACGAAGACAGTATTTGGTAGGCTCATCTCCACACAGGCAAAGGAGCCCAGAGGACCATAAGCCAGCCCCGCCACCGAAGTGTGAAACCCATCATGATGTGGAGGGTCTCCAGGGCACCTCAGAGACTCAGGGAGGTTACTGTCTATGTGGCATGGAAAACATTACTCAAACTTCCAATTAACATACAAATCAAATTTTCAAACCAAGCTTGTTTTTTCCAGTTCATCTAAATTTTCAGAGGCATAACTTACCTATTTCAATATACAATCAAAAAAGTTATTTAGTATCATCCTTAGCTATTTTACAAACCTCCCCCCCCGCCAAGAAAACCCATTGAAATTGAAGGTAGTTTGAGAATATTACATGATATAGCAATAGCATGCTAGAGTATTACCTGGTGTAATTTTCAACATGCAAACTACTGAGAGGTTTACAAGAAAAATAATTTACTCCTTATTGATATCTTGGAAAACTTTTTCTAGATATCAAATTAACACCAAAATTTCCCTGGGTTTAGATTTTATATTTGTTTATAAATTAATATAGACGAAGTTTAGCTTATATTATTTCATATTGTTTTCACATTATCTCAATAGTTCCAACATATCCAATACTCCTACTATATTAAATAATATTACAAACGTAAGTGGCAGACTATGGTACCTTTTTGAGCTGCTAAAAGTTTTACCATACAGGATCCATAGGACACTGTACTAGTGTTAACCAAATTAGCTATTTGGGTTTTAAAAGTTTTTATCTTTATTACCTACGGATAAGCAACCTTGCTATCACAGAATGGAGACTGATCACTCAGATAACCATGATCATCACAACAAATAACTTATACCTCTACTTAACTTTTAACAGCTGAACAGTCTCCTAACAAATACTTAAGTTGCTTAAACTAGGAATGCCACAAAATATACAGAAATACCCATTTCTGAAAAAGTAAAATGCCTGTTTGTATTCCAGCCTTGACTGTAGGACTAACATTGCAACGTAACTGAGAAAAAGGGTTTCCTGACGTAAACTTTTAGCAACATCTTTGTACCTATCAAGGTTGACGCACAACCTTTGTCACTTTATTTTACTTCTCTTCTGGAGGCATTAGAAGAGAGAGAGTGGAGACACTTATTCAAGTTTGAAGTTACCTTCAAGAAAAAACACATCACTTACTTTCTCTGAGGCCTCAAAACTTTGTGTCTCAAATTACTCGATTACATCAATCGCTGTGGCAGCCCTACTAATACGGTTTAGCATCAAGAGGCATGCTTTCACCAAACCACTGCTTTAGTAAGTAGACACAGAAAACGTTACAATATGAACACAGCAAAGCATGCTCATTCCAGGCTACACACCACAAGATCTCTCCTTCTGGAGGTACTTGCTCTACTCCTGTGAGACTCACTGACATCCAAAGAACTCTTAGGAACAAAATTGTAAAAATATATCAATATATAAATTAATTTTTTAAAGCTCTAATAACTGTTAAATCTTCACTGAAAGGCACAAAATAGAAGAGGTAGGAAAATAACATTCTAGGTAAGCTCCTGAAAAATGAGCTCAGTTACCTGCTGAGTTCAAGTCCTAGTCCTTAGTCAAGGATATTACTTAATCTCCGCCTTAGCGTATTTTCTTACATTAACCAAGGCAAGAACAGATCTGATCAAACCTGTAGCCGCTCACAAGCTCAAGTGTTGCCACACAGCATACTCTACATGCTTTTTCTGTAAACCATGCACTGTTTGCAAAGTAGCTAATGCTACCTTATTGAAACAATTTATTTGGCAAAAATATCCATGTGATAAATTGCAGAAATACTTCACACCAGGACTCGCAATATGTTACACATAATTCAGTTAACCAAAGATCACATTTAACTGCTGAAACTTCTTAGTAAGTGACAATCACTTTTTTTTTTTTAAGTCACACAAAGAAAAAGCTTATTCCACCTTCCAAAAGAAACAAATCCAACCTTTTTATTTTAGCAACTTTTCCCTCTCTTGGCCTATATACCCTAATCAACGACCAGCTGATTTCTAGGCAGATCTACTAAAACCAGGAAAACATTTACAAATTCTTGGTATAACCATCATTTAGCACTGTATATGACGTAAAGAGGATACAAGAGAGCCTCTGGATTGTACAGATACACAATGCAATAAATACTTCTATTAGTCTTTGGGATACTCTGCATCATCCAGGTAAGACTTTGCCACTAATGAATAACATATCCCCATGTTCTCAAAGGAATAAACCCCTGCATCATACCAAACTCCTCTTCAAACTTTATCCTAAGGTACCAATGCTTGTTCTTCCACAAATGCCCCATCCCTGGCCATCTTAAAAGCCAGGCTGGACGAGGCTTTGAGCAGCCTGGTCTAGTGGAAGGTGTCCCTGCCCATGGCAGGGGGGTTGGAACTAGATGGGCTTTAGGGTCCCTTCCAACCCAAACTGTTCTGTGATTCTAAATACTACAGAAACATAGTAATACCCAAAGTGCAAGAAAAGATATGCCACTGAGCAGAGAACCATCAGCATCATTTTGGAATGAAAGCTACAAACCAGTATTACACATCTTCAATATTGATTGATTCAAGAGGACTCTGAGTCAGCAGTAGTATTTACTTTATTAAATAAAATTTGCCTGTCTGCAGGGATCCTGAGAGAGATTGAGAAAATGGGGAAGAGGATTTTTTTTTTTATCCTCATTAGATTTATCTGCACTAGGCCAGTGTTTGATCATTAATACCACCTTCACATCTGACCATATTTGATACGTAGTAGCAATCAGAAGACAACTGACAACTCATGTAGGAATCCTAATGCTACACCATTTCAAGATAAGCCAATTAATTCTTACTAGTTGCCAATATCTGAAGCCTAAGTGAATACAATTACTTCGTTTTTTAAAAAAGAAATAAATCACATTAGACTGGAATAACACTAAAACATGGCATTAATACTTGTCATTAAGTTTTATTCCAAACAATTGACTGCTGAACTAAATGTGCTTCTGAACAGTTTCCAAACACCTACCTATTATTTACAGTAAAAACATAGTCAAAGAATTAAAAGGTGACAATTGAGATTCTTTTTAAATGCAAAGATAAAAATACATAATAATAAACTACCTTGCTAACACCAATGAAAAAGTAATGTTAAAGTTCCCTGGGTATTTTAATTGATTTAAAACACTAACTCTAAAACTGCTAAACCTTGGAAGATTTAAAGCGTCATCCACTCCCCAAGAAAACGAAAACAACCCCCAAACTCTTCTTTTCTTTAAAGGCCATGATGGAAAAGGAAAAATATACAGTTTGAACACAAACCAAATATGAATGTCGACTGGACCGGTGAGAATACCTGGCCCTCTCTGAATCTTCCTGAGAAAGAAGAAATGCAGAGTTATTTTGAAGGGAAAAAAAAAAAAAGAAAAAAGATGAGTTGACAACAAAGTAAAAACAAGCAAAGGTGAGCAACATGCTGTTAGCACTTTTAATGCTGTGTTTTGAATAAAACATTGTGGCAAGTGACACCAATCAATCAGAAGAACTGTGATTTCACCTGATTTGTGTAAGTATGCCAACACACTACATTAGGAGATGAAAATAAGGAGGATTAATATGATTAATAGTTAGTGTTCAGTATTCAAACTTTCTTTTAATTATTACATTAATGCAGGAAAAAGTACAAATTTTTTAAATTAAGAAATTGAAGTAAAAAAATAAAAAGCTTTCCAAATTAACATGTACATTTATAAGAATTTTACTATTTAATTGCTACAGTCAGATTATGAACATTTTACAAAGTTATTTTAGCCCTAATAGAGATGATCATTCTCAGTTCCTTCATACATGTTTCAGATTTTCTCCTCTATTATAGGAACAAAGTTTCTTAGGCAAACTGATCAATTTCAGGTAGTTCTGCTCTACAATGACAAGTGAAAATACAAAAGGCAACTTAAAAAATTTGAGGGAGGACAACTAACTAGGGCACCTTTATATCTTTTGTACTGTTGAAAGATCAGGGAATGTTAATTTTGATTCACCCCAAGGAGTACGTGAGAAGCAGCATAACAAAAATACAGCTGATTTAAAATTAAATATTAAAACGCGCTATGTGCCTAAGTGTCTCAAGTTTTTAGTTACAGTCGGTAAGCATATTAAGAATAACCTTAATTTTAAACTATCCCATTTAAGGGTTACAGCAGGGCTCTAAACCCAGGAATCCTTTCTTAAATGACTCGCTTCCTACAGTTTTCAGTGTGTCAAACTCTTCTAAAGATTGTAAGCCAGATATGTGTGAAGTTAAAGGCTCAGCTTCCACGTCATAGGGGGATCTCTAGAGCTGGCCTTTATACTGCTTATGGTCACATGGTACTTTCTACATTATAATTGGATACGTCAACTTGCGTCATATCGTTTTATGACTGTGCAAGAGGCCTAGTTAACACTTTGCAAGAAAATAATTTCCCAAAGGAGGGGTGGGGTAGGGCAGGGAACGAGGGTCATTAAAAATAATGTCTTCTCTGTAGTATCTACTTTGAGGTTGAAAATGAACATTATCCTAAATAACTTTCAACACTGTCAGATCCTTACCTATCTTAAATATACTTCATGGTCTGAGTGGACAAATATCTTTTAATAACATTTGCAGCTTGCAAGCAGTTAGTTTGGTATTTATGGAAGACTCCTCTTAATTGCCAGTGTAACACCCCAGATAATAATAGGCTCCTATAATACAAAACCTCAGCTTCTGATACAATTTTCTGTACATTTCTGTAGGTAATTCACTGAGGGTAACAAGTCTCTTCCTGACATACAATCAGAAAATCAAAAGCCAGTGTTAAAATGTTCAGCATATTCAGGTCAAAGGATAAAGTGCTACAGTCCACACTGCAAACAGGTAACCACTGCTGGGAGCTATCAAGCTTGATTTCTCAGAATTAAAGTTTGAAAAGTGTGCTTTATCGAAGACAGAGGTTAGGTCCCCTAATCCAGGAAAGGAGTGTGCATCTGCTCACAATCGTCCCGCAGCAGATGTGCCTCTGAGTGCAAAAAGAAGGTGTCATTCAGCTGAATGGCATTAACTTCGAAGTGAGGTGGCTGACAAATGCAATCTGTGCTCTCCAGTCTGGAAACCCTTGCTCTCCAGCTAAAAAGCAGTCAAATGTACGTTCCATCAAGAGATAACAAAACCTATGTTGTCCTCTGTCAGTGACGTAAGAACTAAAACACACACAAAGCTAGGCAAAGAGACAATATAAAGTCAGCACAATTACTGCAAATAAAATTCTAATGACAGTTCTAGGATTTGTCAACAGAAGTGCTTACTAACTCTCATGGTAGTTTTAACTATCTGAAGTTACGGTTAGTCTCAGCATGTATTATTTAAATCCTCTTGATTCAAAGAATTCACACAGTAAACACTTCCCTAAAACCACAAAAAGAAAAAAGGCACATGGGAGATGCAAGTTAACAGGCACATGAGGTTTGTGAAAGGAACTCTAAAAAAACATCATATTAAATGAGTATAAATTGAACAGTAGCTTTCTCAAATTGTAACTCAACTCTCTACTCCTTCTTATTCGGTGGATTTAATCTAATTAAATGAACAGTCAAGTATTTTAGCATTATCAATTGAAAACGGGGGACAAGAGGTGAAAGGAGGTAGGGGTGCATGGGGTGGCACTGTGGTTTATTTTTTTGGTTGGCGTTTTCTTTTTTTAGTCTTTTACAGTTAGATTTGTAAGTCATAGAAGTGACTTAATCGTCAGTGAAAAAGCTGCATAGCATTTGGCATGTTACTCAAAGTGGAAACAAATAAATGCAAGTCTGTTAAGATAAAAATGTAAAAAGCCAAACCTCAGAAATTAACTGAAATAAAAATATTTATTATTGAAAAGATGTTTACCTAGCTTGAAACTAACATAATTTCATTTAAAATAGATCCATGACTTCAAGCCAGTACATGGTGGAAACAAAATTATTTCATTTTAAGAAAAGCATACCTTTTCAGAGTTGGACTTTTGCTGCCACAAAGTACCCTGGCATGTCCACATCCATATATAGTTTATATGTAATTGCTTTCAGTAATAAACCACTTTGAAATGACACACAGCAAACCATTAGTAAATTACTTCCTTCAAATCCTGTGTTAGTTCTCTGAGTGGCAAAAACATGCACAACAGGCAGTTTTAGCCTACCATCCATTTCTGGATATGGGCCCATTTTCTATCGTATGAATAGTGAGACAACTACAAAACGCAGAAACAAAAACAAACCATTTACAATATAGATTAGTCACCACCCAAGACTGGATTCCTATATCAAAAATTCTGAAAAATTTCAGTTAATTGCCATGTAATCTCCAGTATAACAACAGATACCTACAGCAGTTAGAAAACTCTAAGCATGGGATAACGAGAACCCTATAAAATTAAGGCAAAAACATGTTTTGTAAATTGTACTGTTATAACACAGAAAAAACCACCAACCCCAAATATCAGCATTTACATGGATTTGAATGTAATCACAATAAATAACAAATTCTCCATCTTTTTCATGCTACGTCAAAACCTGGATCAAGTGCAATAACCATGAAACAGTCAGACCACCAAAAACCTAGTTCCTAGGTTCTTTTACTCAAGAAATGCAAACTACATTTTTTAAGAGAAATGTGTGGAGCAACATACAACTGTATGTGTAAATACTATCCCATATCCCAATTCTTTTTTTTTTTTTTTTTAAAGTTTCTGACAATAGGTATTTATTGTGAACACTTTTGGTATAATCCACAAGGGAAGAAACTGACTGAAAACTGCATCTCCAAAGTCACATATATAAACTTTACTGTTATTAAGTATATTATAAATACATTAAGAGTAAAATAATTTTCTCTACTTTTTCATATTTAGTTATCCCACACATTAGGCAGTGTACATTTTGGGTACGGTCATGTTTATTATTTATGCTGTGCTGCCAGTTATTTATATTTACATGGACCTTTTGCACAGCAACAAGAAGGAAACTGCCACATGTATTACGTAATTGGTCTTATAAAAGCACAAAAGTCACCAGCTGGCTCAGCCACAAATCTAGTAATTCAAATCCAGCCAACATTAAACTTCACGTTAGAAGTTTAAAATTGTTCTTCTCTATGCAACGTTATTTATGTAAGCCTGAGATTTGGACACTGTCATTATGTTCCCTCTTCTGCTCATTTAAAAAACAAACAATAATACGCAGTAATAAGAAAGCCTCAACCCTTTAAATACCTGAAGTTACACATCTAGATTCACCTTTGTCTGATTTTGATTGCTAGCACTGAATTTAATAAAGATAAAACACCCAAGCATCTGATTTTGCCTGTAAAGCTAGAATTTAAAATCACATTAAAAATATTTTGGTTTTCATTTGAAAGCAGGAGTACCCTTGCTTTCAGTAAAGCAAGTACCCTATTTTGTATAGCAGATTTTTCCCACAACATGAGCGTAACTGTTAAGGAAGTTCAAAATGAATGTTCAGATCACTATTTTGTGAAGTGTTATCCACAGATAACTACAAAGCAAGCTATCCTTTCTGATGCATAAACTAAGGGGAAAGAGAAGTGTATGAGGGGAGAGAGAAGCTGACACTTGGTCTGATGCTGAAAATACTAGCATGCAGCTGAAATACACCATGAGACAAAATCTGATGCAAGTACTGAAATAAAATACCTTAAGAATTCTAGTATAGGTTTGCTGTAATTCCTGATGATTTACATTACCTCTTTTTGCTGTCGCTCCAGCTCTCTCATACGTATATCTCTTGCTTCTGCTCGGGCTGCCCGTTTGGCTGCAAGCCTGGCTTCTGCCTGCAAGTGAATTGAAATTATTGGAAGTTAGAAACACATTTTTTTTTATAATGGTTTGAGCACTGAGTTGAGTAGTCTCTTCACAAAAACATATTAAGATTTGAACATCACAATATGTAAGTAGTAGAAAAAGCTGAGTTCTCAGAATGAAACTTCAGAAAGGATAAATCTTTACACGCATCATTACTAGTCAAAAGAATTACAAGTTGATAACAGAAATGAGTGCAGAAATATTACTGTCTATAAACCTAAAAATTCATGTCTTGCAAACTTCAACAGGACTGTTTATGCACAGTATTTTAACAGACTTATAGGCAGCTGCAGAATCTTTGGCCACAGAAAGACATTAAAACCAAAAAGAAAGCAAGAAACAGATATTAGACCACTACTGTTCACGTCAGAGTTAAAAGCTCTGCTATCATTTGGAATTCTTTCAAAAAGCAACCATTACTTAAAAGTCCATTTCCTTCAAACCATAATATCAAATCGATAATAAGGCAAAATGTAAGAAATAAATTTAAGGTTCAAGTTCAAGAACTAACTCACGCATTCACCATCACCAAAAAGGGACTTCCCTATCTTTCCATTCAAGAACTTACATTCCCAACAACTTTCTCAGACCCAGCTCAAGCGCCCAGGATCTGCTGTAAACCAATTAACTAACTACCGAATCATGAAGTTCACAACAAGCAGTTTTCTGATGTGCTAGAGAAATGAACTGGCTTTACAAGGACCTTAGGAACACCAGACCCAGGAAAAGGGATGTAGCAACACCTCCCCTTTCTCAGTGGCAAAAAGCTGCTACATCTCCTACACTGCTTGAGAAACCTGGTTATCAGCATATATGTTTTCTCCACTTTCTAGTCAGCGTCAACCCAAAACGAAACACGTTGTCTTTCAGCCCCTAAACAGACCCAGCAAAATGGATGTACCGACACCTCTCCCTTCTCAGTGGCAAAAAGCTGTTGTATCTCCTGCATTGCTTGTGAAACCTGGTTGTCAGCATGTGTTTTCTCCACTTTCTAGTCAGCGTCAACCCAAAACAAAACACGTTGTCTTTCAGCCCCTAAATGCTACCTCTAATTTAATCAGTTAATTACATGAGGCAATGATTTTTGACATAAAGCTAACACTTGAGGAAAACACAAGCTCAATTTTTTCAAGTTTGAATAATGAGCTTATGAAAATTCTCTCTGAAATTCTTCAGATATTAAACCACTCAAGTCAGGTTTTCCACCAAAAAATTCCAGTGGTCTATCTGATGTTAATTAAAAACTTATGAGAAACAGCAGAAGCCAAAAATTCAGAACTCCTAACATCCAAAGCACATAATCTTACAGATTTTTTTTTTTTTAATGTAAAATTTAAAGGGATCTTGCCTTTGGTTAAAGACAGTCTTTTTCTGCTTTTGCCACAATCACAGCATAGTTTTCTGTGAAACATTATAAACTTATAAAATCCACTACAATTGCAAATACTGTAACTGTCTTTTTACTGTGCTTCAAGAAAAATGGGTATTTAACTCAGAGTTTAACTTCAAATTATGTTTAAACTAAGGTATGATAATATGTAGCAAATAATAACAAAGAAGGCAAACATAGCTTTATTACTTAAAATAGTCCTGCGTTTCTTCCATCAAGACCGTTTTACTGTATTTTCCATACTCAGATGAAGTGATTCCAAGTCTGTGTCAGCACTCTTAACTGCCACAATGTAATCCTTTTTCAAAGCAGCATAAAGCTACTCTTCCTACCTGATGCCAGTACACAAGAAAAAAGGGAATTCCCATGCAACAGAAAGTCTTTTCTCACTGGCAGCCTTACTCTGTAACTGTCTGTAATCACAGCTTTGTCCCACATAAACTTTCACACAGACATGTATGCAGCACAGAAAGAAGGAGGACAGTTTGTCTGGGTTTAGTTCTATGTATCAGCATAAATCTAGCCTTTAGACTCTGGCAAGGTTTTATTGCTTAAGAGACAAAGTTCATTCATTCACTGATTCATGCTAAAAATCAATTTACATTTCACCACTCCCTTCTAGTTCTAAAGCCAGAGACCTAACTTTCACATTCCCACAGTAGAGAGGACTTAACTTCTTACAATTTACTAAACCCTTGATAAAATACAAGAGAATTTTACAAATATTAGTCATAAAATGGGTGCCTGAAATTAGAAGAAAAAAAATCATCTTATCCTTTTAGAGAAATTAGAGAAAAAAATGTATTAAATATTAATCTGAGCAACTAGATTTCTCCAAATTTGAAAAAGACAAGGAAGTTGTCAAGTTAACTGAAAGCAGTTACCAAGCTTCCTTCACCAAACCAGAGCAGGAGACAAATCACATCACCATCTCAAAGGCCATCATACCAAATAATCCTTTATTCTCAGCAAAACTGTCAGAGAGAAGACTTCCTGTTATTAACAAAGCACTCAAATCTCGATAACTATGTGACTGAAATTCAACATTAACATTCACAAAGAAATAACTGTAATTCAGAAGGAGACAGTTTTCTTCCCGTGTGCTGCTGTTCACTCTGTGTCACTGAAGAAAGCAGATGGCAACGCACTCCTCACAAATTAGATTCTTCAGCTATGTTGAAATAAAGTCTTTAAAAATCTGCTAAGGGAAATAGAGTGCCACAACAGCTTTGGACAGAGAACGGTGTTGAAAAGATGAAGCTGTTTGGATCATAGAAGCAGCAGAGAACGGAAATCTAGACTACTTTTATATTTTGGAAAAAAACAGCAGAAGAATCAGCAGTGATGTTACAATACTTTTCTAATTCAATTACTACTTGAATCGAAGAACATTTCAAACACATCACTCTTGCTTGCTTATATGAGTTTGGGAGTCAGTACAGGCTGCTGTCTACAGCTTGCATTAATCGAATTCCAACCTCAGAAAACCAGACTGGCCACTACTGACTTCATTTCTGTTTCACTGGTCTACGCAGTCTGTAGACCAGACACACATAAACAAAATATATTATTTATGACAAAGATACATTACAGTATCACCTAATTCAAGTACTTCTTGTTAAAAAGTTATATAACATACCAAATTCCTGTTTTCCTGATGTAAAACTTAAACTGTCCAAGATCTAGCCAATCTGACACTTTATTTTTAAAGGTCTAAAGGGGACTTCCAACTGCTAAAAAGAAACGTGATAGCTGAATTTTTTGAATACTTCAACCGCAAATAAGAAGTGAGGTTTCCAAACATGCTAGAGCCATATCACTACGCTTACACTGGTGAGTAAAATGGAAAGAAGTTGCTTAGTTATATATTCTGGAGGGCAAAGAGGTGCCATTAGGTAGAGATACAATGACTTTGCATGGAATCTATTTAAAGAAATTATCAAGAAAGAAAATAGAGGACTACAAAGATGATCATAGAAATCTTTTAGGTTGGAAAAGACCATTTAGATCATCAAGTCCAACTGTAAACCTAACACTGCTAGTCCCACCACTAAACCATGTCCCTAAGCACCTCACGTACACATCTCTCAAACACCTCCAGCAATGGTGATTCAAACACCTCCCTGGGCAGCCTGTTGCAATGCCTGACAACCCTTTCAGTGAAGAAATTTTTCCTAATATCCACTCTAAACCACCCCTGGTACAACTTGAGGCCATTACCTCTTGTCCTATGGCTTGTAACTTAGGAGAAGAGACCAACCCCCACCTCTCTGCACCCTCCTTTCAGGTAGTTGTAGAGAGCAAACAGGTCTCCCCTCAGCCTCCTCTTCTCCAGGCTGAACAACCCCAGCTCCCTCAGCCGCTCCTCACAGGACTTGTGCTCCAGACCCTTCCCTGGATATGCTCCAACACCTCAATGTCTTTCTTGCAGCGAGGGGCCCAAAACTGAACACAGGCTTTGATGTGCAGCCTCACCAATGCCCAGCAGAGGGGGACAACCACTGCCCTGCTCCTGCAGGCCACACTGTTCCGGATGCTGGCCAGGATGCCATTGGCCTTCTTGGACATGCCGCTGACTCATATTCAGCCAGCTGTTGACCAACACCCCCAGGTCTTTTTCTGCTGGGCAGCTTTCCAGCCACTCCTGTAGCCTTGCAGGGGGTCATGACAAAAAAAAACCCAAACACCTTTGTAACAGAAGGGATTGAGTAGAAAGAAACACAGTGAAGAAGACCTCGACTTGGTTTGGATAGGTTAAAAAAGGGACTAATTAATAACGTATTAACTAATAACTAAATCTCACCTTTTTTTTTTTTTAACAAAAACATACTCATACTACTCCTTACCCTTTACCATCTAAGATAAGGACAAATAGGTGATTTTAAACCAAGTGCCATATCTGCATTTCTTAGGGTAATAGCTCTGCTCTGAGTAACAAAACAAAGCCATCTGTTCACTGCTGAGCCCTGGAATTCTTCACTTCAGAGTACGTACCACAAAGCATTACATTAAGAAGTTTCCTTGCACCTGCAAAAACAGCATTTCATTCTAGAAGAATATGATGAATCCGGCTGTTTTCATGCAGTTAAGCTACTACCTCGAAGCAGCACTTCGAAGCAGTACTCAGAGAAAGGGAGTTATTTTGTTGCACATGTGTACTAAACATGTGGATAGAAAGTTAATGTTCTCCTTCTACCACAGATGACATGGTCAGTTTCCCCATTTTCACCTAAGAAACAATTACTAACAACTATTTACAGTCATTTAGAAAACCAATTCTGTTTACTCCATCTTTCCTTTTTTAATACACATTCTGCCACAATCTTTTGAAAACCTTTCAAACCATTTATCTCAAATTACAAGATTAACATTTAATTCTTCAGTTAATACAAGATATTTTTGGCAAGAGAAGAAAGGGAAAAAGAACAGATTTCAGCTTGAATGCTTTTTACAGATTGAGCCTGGAGCGTTTTTTTTCTGACGATTTTTCTTAGTCTCTTCACATCAATGATCAAGTTCTTCACCAAGGAAAGAAGCATACTAGTATAGAAAATTGATATGGAAGAAGCAGCATAACAT